CGCCCGTGCCTGTGTGTGGGAGAGAGAGAGCGAGAGAGCGCGAGCTCGCCCGTGCCTGTGTGTGTGAGAGAGAGAGCGAGAGAGCGCGAGCTCGCCCGTGCCTGTGTGTGTGAGAGAGAGAGCGAGAGAGCGCGAGCTCGCCCGCGCGCACCTGCCTCAGGTGTGTTAGCAGCCACGGTACCAGGTCTGGGGCGCGGCCTGCTATTTTATGTTTTGTGCTGCTGCTCATCGGCCGCAGTGCGGCGCCACAGTTGGCATCTGCTGCTTGGTGGTTACTGCGTTGACCCTAGAATTGCTGTGCCTTCATAGAGGAGGGCGTGTGCCCCTTGAAATATTAGGTGCTAGTTTGAGAAGTGGCAAAATACTTTTTACGTTATGAACATCGTATTTTTGTTATTTACACTCAGTTTGCTTTGTGTACTGTAGTCAGCAAATGTCAGTGCTCAGGTGTGTCTCGGTGTGTTCTGGAAGCAAACACACTCGCGGGAGGAGGCAGCTGCCTCTGGAGACAGTGAGCCTCAGACAGTGCTTCGGGAAGGGCGGCAGAGAGGGCGGTTTTCAAAGCAGCTGCTGGTGTTTGATGTGAAAATCACAGTAGAAAACTCGGCGCCTTTTCTTGCTTATTCCCAGTCCTGAGTCACTGTCAGGTGTGGAAGATCCCTGCTGTGCTCTACCTGTGTTACACCGACGTCATGAAACTGGACCTCATCACGGTGGAAGCTTTCACGCCTGTTCTTTCTTCTAGAAGCTTGAAAGGTCTGGTTAAGGTAAGGTTAGCCCGGCCCCTAGTAGCTGGCTATTACGGTGCGCGCACGTGTCTGCCGTCAGGTTCAAAGCCGCCCGTGTCCCGGTCTGCGACGGAGCTGGCTGTTGCCGGCCGGCTGGCGAGACTTCCGGCCTGGAGGGGCGTTTGTGCGCGTGCTGGCCGGTGGGGAGGCTGTTTCCTGTTCACGGAGTGTCTGATCTGGGAGGTGGAGGCTTCTGAGGATTTAATTCAGTGAATTGGGAGTCAGTGGACTTCAGAGGTTACAGGCTGGGGAAGGCAGAGTATGGGTCAGATGGTCCTCACGGTCGCCTGGTCCTTCCTGAGGAGGCTGCAGTTGACCTGCCCGTTCTCAGCTGGCCTGGCCGGGCCCTCCTGGGAAGGCGCACGCTGGCCCCCGGCGCAGCTGCCTGTAACTCTGGAGGTCCGGGGGCCCCTTCCTCGGGGTTTGCTCCAAGGCCAGGGACCCCAGGATAAGAGCTTCTGGAAGGGTCGGCTAGGACAGCGTGTTCTCTCGTCTGGAGTGGGCACCAGTGCACGGAGCCGCCTGGACTCGGCTGCTTCCCATCTCGTGAGCGCATTTGCTGGCCTCGCTGCGGCCCGCGTGACGCCGTGTCTGACTGTTCCCGGCCTGCAGGGGTCGGCCACAGTGTGTGGACATTATAAAACAAACGAATTCAGTGTCATTCACGTGTTTCACATTAGCTGGAACCGTGGGTCGCCTCCCCGAGGCCTGCGGTCACTCCCTGCGGTGTCTCCTCCGAGTGCGCCCCGAGTGCATCCCCCGGGGAGCGGGGAGCCAGTAGCCAGTCCCCCCCCACGGCTGCTCTGGGCTCCTCACGTGACTTGCGCTTCCTCTGTCGTGGGGTTCAAGTTGCTGTGAGCTTTCGGGAATATTTTTTGAAGGGAAAATTGAAATGACTTTAAAAAACATCTTTGTTTCTTGCTTGAAAGAAGCAAAAATGTTTTGGGGAGCTAAGCGCCACCTCTCGCCAGCCCTGCAGGCCCCTGGCTTCTGCTCCTCTCTCTGTGGTTATGGCTGGCAAAGTGGAAGTAGTTGAGTGTCGCCTGCGTGGGCCTCCTGGCGCCGGGGTGGTCACCGCTGTGGGCCCCCAGAGCCCCTGGGGCAGTGAGAGGCC